TCATAACCCAACCTCTCTCTACAAAATTCAAATTGGCTTTTGATAGAAGCCACATCCCCATATACTGTGAGTCAAAGGATGGATTCCAAAGTGAGCTGCCTGGATGAACTGCACCCTGCACCACCTGGGAACTCATCAGGATAATCTGGCAGAGATTCAAATCTTTGAGTTTGTTCAGAACTACTGAATCAGAAACTCTGGGAGTGGGCTCCGAAAGCTGCATTTTCACAAGGCCACCTGCTGACATTCTACACACTATTGGACTGGCTCAGGGTTAGGAAGGACTATACTGTATATTAGGGACGTTAGAACCCACACTAGAGGACATGGGGCTTGTTCCTACTGTCCCTGACTTCAGTCTAAGTTGATGGACCATCACCAACAGGAGCTGCTGTAACACAATGGTTCTCACCCTTCCTAATGCTGCAAACCCTTAACACTGTTTGCTCATGTTGTGGTGACTCCCAGCCCGAACATTATTTTCATTCCTATGAAAATAACTGCATTTTGCTACTACCATGAATTTTAATGTAAATATCTAATATGCAGGATATCTGATATGTGACTTCTGTAAAAAGGTCATTTGCCCTTCAAAGGGCATATGACCCACAGGTTGAGAACCACTGCTTTAAAGCGACCCCGTTTATGAGGACAGCTCGAGACACTACCAGGAGAGGTGCCATGAAAACACACTCAGATGTTTCCTTCCTATTCATTTTGTCTCCGTTCCGTTCTGTTGACCCTTATCCCAGTTTCTCAGTTGATTTCCCCCCTTTGTGAATCCCAAGCAACGCAGTGCTTCTGAAGATAATGCAAGACATATTTACATGTTTTACAACGTTCTATGTCTTACTGAACACTTTAATGCAGGTTATGTTCATCTTTTACAGCTCTCCCCTATAAAGTTTAATCTACTGGGAAATTGTGTGTCAGTTTAGAGCCCTCTAATGACCGACCACCCCCTAAATTAAGAACCAGTTTTTGAGAAGAGACCAGAGGAGGCACTTTCACAGAAAATTATAGCTAACATTTACAACTTTCTAAGAAGCTGTCCAAAGACAGCAAATATACTTAATTTAAGAATGTAGAAAATATATGAAAACCTGTAACATGAGATTATGCTAAAATGAAACACTATTCATAAAGCATGTTAACACTGTGCTATTTATTACAAAAACTGATATTATTGCAGGGGAAAAGCTCCCTTCTCCCAGTAATGGGGTGGAGAGCTAATGGCAATATAAAACATTATAAAGAAATCTTCATTTTTCTCTTATGCTTATATATGATATTGGAACAAAAACCCTATTTTTTCCCTTGAAAAGCTTAAAGCTACATTAAAATTTGAATAGTTCAACAGGACTTACTAGCTGTAAACACAAGGATTACTTTATAACTTAAGAGAAACAGTGCCAATAAACGCCCCCCCCCGCCCCGAGACACACACACACACACACACACACACACACACACACACACACACACACACACACACACACCATTCGTCTCTTGTTCCTGCTGCATTAGCAGTAGTTTCTATGGGACGCGAGTATCTCAACCCTCTCCATGAGAAGCTTGGATCATCTGGAGATGGCTCTTGCCATCATGGATGTCTATCTACCAGGTTGGACTGGAGGATGAGGGAGGAAGGAGCAGGCCTCATCTCCTCAGGTTACCTGACAGCCTTCACTTGTAGCTTTAGCCCCGCTGATCAGTAGTTCTGAGCAAGTGAGTCCAGAGATTTGGGTTTCGGCTAGACGATTCGAGTGTCTAGCACCAAGTCTTCATGACTGAGGTCATAGGCTCACTAAAGTCACCTTATATTGAGTCCAGTTACAGCTGTGGTTCAGAGGGAGCCATTCCTTTGGTGGCCACATATGGGGCAGATCATTTGCCTGGGGCATCCGCTCTTAATGTGTGGACCCTCTGCCAAGACCAGGCACTGTTGGTCGATGCTGTTGTACACTCACTAAATTTAGACTTGCCTACTTCATCAGCTCATGACATGAGCTCAGATTTATACTGGCCCCAAAGCCCTGAAAGAGGAACTCACACTTGACCTACTGTGAAACGGTCTCTCTCAGATCCTAAATAAATCACCTGGAACTTCCACATTGACCTGGGCATAGTCTCTGAACCAAACTAGAAGTGACCCATTCTCGGGGCCCTATCACCACCGCCCCTGCCTCTGCGACCCACTCAGCAGCAGGCCCAGGGAGCCCAGCGATTTTCCAACTGTGAGAAAGTAAACACCGTGATTTAAAATCATCCTCAGCATGGCCTACAAAAATGAAAGTCTTTTCAGGCAATCCATTCCAATCAACCACTTGTCATAGCAATCTGAGAAACCTGCTTCAATAAAGGAAGTAGATACTTCAGGACATGTAGGATTTCTTGCCAGTTTGTCTTAATGCTGTACAAATCATCTTTCTGAGTCCTGAATCTCGTGGCATCTGGGGGATGATCGTGCTCAAAGCAATATTTAAGGGCTTCCCCTCATACACCCACGTACACTCAATATGTTTCCATGAAAATAGTTTTGTGCTAAATCATTAGGTAGCAATCAAAAGCATATGTATCTGATAATCGTTAAGGAAGTATTTTCTTGATTTACTGTATCTACCTGATTTTTTAAAAAACAGAATGTGCCAAGTGCTATATGCAGTGTTGAGGATGGACTCCAAGGTCTCAAACAAGCTACACAAGCCCTCTACCACTGAACCACACCCCAGCCCATCTCCAGGCACTTCTTACCCTCCATCATGTAGACTCACCAATTCAGATTTCCTATTTAAGTAATTAATGAACAGTTTCCAGCATGCTTTTGGCGTGTGCCATGGGTTGGCACGTGTCTGCAGACCTGTAGCCCATATGCAGCTGGTATGCACATGCATTCCACACATGAGCCCTTCTAGAGCTGAGCAAAGAAGGCATGTAAGTTTGGTTTTAGAGCTTTTCCTCTGTCTGGTTTTGCCTCTGGGCTTGTTGCCTACTCAGCCAATCAAAAGGTATAACCAATTATTTTAAAAAAAATTCAGAGGCCAAGAAAGCACAATAGCACCTGAGGGAAACAGACATAAAGTGAGGAGAATAAACCCGGATACTTCTAAGCTACCAGGAGAGAGAAAATCCCCGGGAACTGCTGGTAGGGTGGCCACCTGCCTACTTCAAGTCACGTCAGCGGCAGAAAGTGCCTGCCAACGGGGAGATGCTACATGGACGCGGACGGCTGTGGCAACTTAGGCTTCCTTGCCTGGTGTTCCAGCTCTTCAGCTACAGTTGGCGGCTCAAAGGCAAGAGCTCAAGATCTTTTTGAGAACCAAATATAGAAAAGCATCAAGAATAAAAAGTGGAAGTCTATTTGGCATGACAAAGCCCTTTCAAACTAAAACTAAACCTTAAAAAGTTCAAACTTCTAAAACTTTAAAAAATACTCTCTGACATGTAAAAATGCACACCCTGTCTAACACAAGAGTACTGGAAATGAACCATATATCATATGTATATAACATAGGCAACATTTTCCATAGTGGCAGGTGTCATAGTGTCCAAGATTTCAGACAAGACTGGCCAATCCCTGCTAACCGTTGCTATTATGTGTTGGTTTTCTCAGTCATCTCCCATCAGCTTAATCTCTGATCTTAACCTCTGAGCTCCAGATCTTTAGTAAGATATATTCATTGCCTGAATAAACAGAAGGATGTTTCATAGGTTGTTTTAACTGATGTTAATTCATTTAGTGTGTTAGAAGCAATGTTCATGTGTCAGCACTTTGCAATCCAACAGCCCCTTTGTAAACAAAAGCTCTCCATGTCTCTTCTCTCATGTCTAATACAAAGTTTTTAAGTATGTGTTGGTAGTGTTATACAGCAGTCATATACATTTGATGAAGTATCTATGTATCTCCTCAAGATTTGATCAGTATTCAAATAAGCTTTAACCTATCTCTCTGGATCTGGAAAAAAAAATGAGGCTATCTGGAAAAAAATGAGGCTATGTTGTTTCAAAGAATAAGTCCCCAAACAACTGCTAAAGGTTTCTTGATGCTGGCCCACTGTGATTAAGAATGTCTTGATGACTGATGTTCTTGAAATGACTGCTTAATGCCCTTTTCTTCTCCACTGGATCATCTTGAGAACTGTCAAGCTTCAAAAGCCACACAAGCATGTCTTTCTTCCATTCCACTGTAATGCATCAGTAAATTCTTCATTCTCTATGGCTTATTAGTACTTCTCAAAAGAAAAAAAAATAGTATGCTGCTAACCTGGCTATGGAATCGGATGCAGATGGGGGTGAGATTTGCAAGTCACTGAAAATGGAAAAGTCTCATTGTCTGGAATGTGGTGGTGGTGCCACTTGCTTTCAGATGGCCTGCAGCAAGAGCTTTCTGTGTGTCAAGTAATAAAACTAATTATGCTTGCTCAAGTACTCCACCATCATAGAGACTTGAAAATGCAAGCTAATGCAATCAAAGAAAAACGATGTGCTCTCTTACTGTATCAGACTAGTCTTTCCTTTGTCACAACTTGCAATTTTCTGAATACAGGGGTATTTTCTGAATACAGACTGAGGTAGAGTAAAGATCTAGAGTATCCTCCCTTCCTCTCCCTTCGGTTTAGGGACAATAACGGTTATTCTTACAAGTTGGTTTACTAATATGAAACGTTTTTGTAGCGAACTGGGGCTTCTATTTAAAATGGAAAGATGATAAAGACTGTTCCATTTAGAATCCACATGCAGTCTGCTGCCTGCTTCAGGGCCACCCATTTCCTTTGAATCTAAATCAGTAAGTTTAAGATTCCTGGGAGGGCTTGGTGCACCAATCTTCGGGCAGAAGCCCAGAATTAGATGAACTAATGTGTTATTTGGCCTTGTTTCTTGATGAGGAAAAGGGAGGTCTGCTTTGCCAACACAGCACAGGAGAACAGACTACTGCCACAGCCAGTGAAGGTGACCCGGGTGACGTCCCAAGGGAACAAGGTTTGCTGTTACATCCTTACCTGGATAGAGTTCCGGCCCAGGCGCTGGCCCTGGGGAGCATCCCACGGCGCCATCAGCAGCAGCATCTCTGGGGGAAGTGGCTGGCTGCAGGGGCTGCACAGCGAGACAGTCCGTGAGGAGATCTGGATGGAGCTCAGTGCTAGACCGCAGCTGGAAGCAGAAAAGAGAATAGACATGGAAAAAGCTGGTCCTTAGAACACTTGTCTGGAAAGGCCTCATGCCCCAAAGGTTGATGCAATTCAATCCACAGATATTTATCAAGCAGCCATGGGGAGATAGGCATGAGTGTGACAGCGCCAACAGAGGGTCAGCTCTCCAACCCCAGAACACTGGGCAGGCACTTCCGGAAACACAGGGCTGCAAGTAGGTTTGACTTCAGACATCGCTACTTCCACTTCTGAGAGCCCAGCTTCCTATTCGAGTTCCATTTATTTGCTCACTCAGTATCTAATCGGAAGTTGTAGGGATGACAAAACCAAACTCAAGTGGACTTTGTCCACATTGGAAAGTACTTTTAAGAACAGGGATACTGGCACAAAAATATCCAGGAGAAAACTTAGAAATCTCTACTGAGGTTTGCTGCTTAGAAATTTTACATGAGAAGGACACACTCAGGATAAAACTTAAATATAGAAAAAGATTAAAGGAAACTGCTAACAATAAACCCCAATACTATGCCACACACAAAATTAGGAAATTACATCTTCATTTAGTCACATACAACACAATTTATTTTATATGTGAGTCACATGTAAAAATTAAACCAAAATGGAGTTAAAATGTAGTGTAAGTGAAATTTTATCTGATTCATTTTATTACATGTGGGTGTTTATTTGTCAAGGTGCTTTTGCTTGCATATGCATACATGTGTGTGAACATCTGAGTTTGTGAGAATGCGTGTGTATGTGTGAATGTATGCATTGTGTGTGTCTGTGTGTGAATGTGTGCATGTGTGAATGTATGCATGTGTGTAGGCTAAAGAAAAGCCTGGGTATCATCTTCAGGATCGCCTCTAAACAGTGGCTCATTGGCTCATAGTTCATCAATTAGACTAGACTGGCTAACCAGTGAGCCCTAGGAATCCTCCTGTCTCCACTCCAGAACTAGGATCACAAGTGTTTACATGGCTCCTGTGGGTTGAACTCATGTCTGCAATGCTTACAAAGCAATTAGTTTATAAAATGAGCCATCCACAACCCCTGTATCTTCACAAACATAAATTTTGTAAATCTAACTTGAATGAAAAATTACAGTGGAACATCTGGTAACATAAAAATATTAACCTAATTGTGTTAAAACACAGAATTTTAAAAAATCTAGAAATATCACAAATGCTTATCTTCAGTATTTAAAAACTGTATATAAACTGACTTTATAAAGACATTAAGCCTTTAGACAGAGGGCCAGAGTTTTCTTATTCCTTTGACAAATGCCTCATGTTCCCTTGACTCTAGGAGTATTCACTGTCTTTACAGAACTTTGACTCTTTGTGGAAGGATGATGAACAATTAACATACGTGTAAAACGAGCAATGCTAAATGCTAGAGAAAGTGATGTACAGAAAGGAGATCCCAAGGGCACGTGGGGGTGGGGGCTAGTTTGGGACAGTGATCAGGGACTGCATCTGGGGGCTAAAATTGGTAGCAAGTATGAGCAGAATGGAAGCAAGATGTCCCAGAGTGGGAGCTGAAGGCAGGGGGATCCTGCCTGCCTCCGAATGTGTGTGTCTGAATGACTGGTGGAGTGGTATGGCTGGCCCAGGGAGAGCATGGGGCCTAGGGAACAGAAAGAGAAGAGGGAAAGGGGACTGGGAAGAACGAGTGCACAAAGTCTCGACATGGGCAGTTACTACAATCTGGGGCATCTTCATCTGGAGAGCAGGCTGAAAAGGAGAACTAAAATGGTAATGCATATACAACAATAATTATACAAGTGGAGGCCGTGAATTCAAGGGGGCAGGTAAAGGGGGCATGGGAGGAGCTGGGGGTGGGAAGGATGCAAATAGAGTAATCACGTAGAACTTCGCAAAGTCTTAAAAATGATAATGCACTTATAACAACTGCATGGCATGAGAGCCCCAAGGGTACAGTGGTTGTCAGCAACAGCTCTCTCATTGGACTTAAGACCCATTCAACAGGAGAGATAACATGCCTGGTACTGGAAACCCAGCCAACTTCTCAGTGCTAGTGCAGTCATAGATGTTGGGGGAGAAGCTACAACGACCCTTTACTAAGCCAGGACAATCCCTAACAACAATCTAAACATTTATTTGTCTTTATACCTACAGGGAAGTATAGTCCTCATGTCTCATCAAAGACACCATGTCTCTTTGTAAAAGACAGAGACCAGCATAGAAAACCACAACCAATCAAAACGCAGAGTTGTGGAGCCCAGCCCCAATGGATACGCCTACAAAACACTCCCTCATCTAAGGCTCCAGGAACATTGCAGAAGAGGGGGCAGAAAGGTGGCAGGGGTCAGGGAGTTTGCTGTGAGACTGTGCTTCCTTTGAAACCAGACACTATACCCATCAATCTCACCAACACGACTGTCTAAACATGAGTGAGACAAGGACAGCTACAGTAAAAGAAGTCACAGTGGGTGGGGGATCCCGAGGCTTCAACCCACATAAAGAACTGCAGGCAACCAAGGACTGTGGAGAATGGGTTAACAGTCTCCGGGGAAGGGTACACCTGCTGGTGATTCAATAACCAATGGTCAGCCCTGAAAACACACATTTAAGTAACATTATATAGACGGAGCAGGGTCCATTTAAGAATCTATATGCATATTGTGGATGTAACAGCAATTAATAAAAAAAAAGAGGCCATAAATTAAAAAAAAAGAGCAAGGAAGGGTTTATGGGAAGGTTTGAAGGGAGGAAAAGGTAAGAAGAAATAATGTAATTATAACTTCAAAATACAGATTTTTGGCAATGTTGAGTACAGTTTTTTGTTAAGTATTTTATTTTCCAATAAAACAAGTACACTACGCTTGCCAAGAAGGACCTTAACTCCGACATATCAGTGGCCGGAGAAATAACTCTGTGGCTAAGAGCACCTGTTACTCTTGCAGAAGACCTGGGTTCCGTTCCCAGCATAAACATGGTGGCTCACAACTGTTAACTCTGGTCCCACGGGGTCTGATGCCAACTTCTGACCTCTGTGAGTACCTAGTACACATGTGGTACAGATACACACAGACAAACCATGTATCCACGTGAGACAAATAAATAAAAAATATTACAAATAATTTACCAAATCATCAACACCTTCACAAAATTATCTCTGGTAGTGACGTCACAGGTAGGAATTTATATGGTTTTTAGTAGGTGAGTACGTTGGTACAAATTTCTAGAGGGCATCAGGGAATAGTTTTTAAGACCCAGAAACAAAATAATTTGATTCTTAAATCTGTCCTAAGGAAATACTCAGAAACATGAAGGATAATAAATACCCAAAAAACCTATGTATGAATTCTAATGATATATAGCATAATTTTAAGCAATATCAAAAAATTAGAAAATGCTCTTAAATGTCCAACAATAAGGACAACTTAGAAAATCATACATTAAGTAACTGCAATACTATGTTCATAATGATGGCAAAACAAAATTTTATATACAAAATGTTGAGAATAACATACAACCCAGATAAAATAAAACGTTTTCCAAATACTCTACATTCCAATGGTGAACTAGAACAGCCATGTACCAACTGAAGAGTGCCTGTGTGTGCCTCTTTTCCACAGAGGACACAGTGATGTCAGATAAGACTGCTTGAGACTGGTCCCGGTGAAAATATTTACACTGTGGAAACTGGCAACTGCTCTCCACTAAGGCTTCTCATCTCTCCTGCCTGCTAAGCACCAGGAGAAGACTGCTGATGAAGTGTGACTACGAACTGCACTCCGGTCAAACACGAGTACAGACTGCTCGGATGGAGCATCGTTTGTTCCCCACAAGTCCGTGAGTTCAGAGCTAGGTTCCTGATGGGAAAAGGAGGAGAGCTGGAGGGACCTAGTGGGAGTTGGCTAGGCCATGAATGGTGTTGTCCTCAGAAGGGACTAATGTAGATCCTGTGGGACCCCAAGTTGATTCTACAGAGAATGAGAGGGAGCCTTACCCCGAATGACTCTCTGGATTTTGTCTACCCTTTTAACATGTGTTCCCATTATGACACTATCTATGTGACAGCCCAAGGGGCCCTCACTTGGCCACCACAGCGAGCTAATTGAACCTCTCTTCTTCTAAGGTGCCCTGCCTCAGGTTATTTTTTATAGCAATGAAAAATGAGGACACACACACATATAAACAAACAACAACAAAGGAAAGTAGTACTTCTTGGGTCTCGAAGGAGGCTAAACCTATACCCAGACCTTAGATGAGACTATGAAAACAGCACAGAGAACTAGGTAACAGAAAGACCATTTAGCTCACATAGCAACGAGCTCATCGCAACTTTCTCAGCTTTGGCACACTGAACTTTCTGACCAGGACTGCCTATGTTTATGTCTAGCTCTCAAGGTCTTTGGAAGATATGTTTGTTATTTTCTTATGAACCTAACACATGTTTCTTAATTAAAAAAAAAAACTGGGGGAGGGGGAGCCAAGGCTTAGAATGAGTTCTGGTGATCACTTTTAATTTATCTTCCATCATTAACATGTGATCTGGGGTGCACATGTTCTACTAAGGGCAGGAATGAATGCTTCTCTGCTTTCGATTACCCACCACTCTAGGGTTTTGCAGTTATCAGTACCAGCGAGATGGTTCCAAGGAATTTCATGGCCATGGCTAATCCTGGCATCAAACACAGGCAATTCTTCCCCAGCTTCAACAGGCATTTATGTCTTCCAGCAGCGTGATTCTATACGACTCTGTGGTGAGAGTTAATTTAGTTTTCTCTAGGATTAGGCATGGTTCTTAAAAGTGCTTCTTATTTAAACAAACCTAAGAACCTTGTGCAGAATTTCCAGAGGAAAGCTACGTTGTGAATACCAAGTCATGAGATGAAGTCACATACCCATCTCACATCAACCAACCAGGAAAGGGCCCTCCAGGTTGAAATGAGTGAGGCAGAAGGCATTGGCAAATCTCCTGGAGGGGTGTCTTTCAATATAATACAGTTTTAGGTGGGGGTGAGAAATTCAA